AAATGAAATGTTTGAAGTTTTACTTTTTACTCTTTATTCCATTTTGTCTTCCTTTCTTGGTTTCTGTCTTTGCTCCTTTGTTTCCTTGTCTGTTTTCTTTTCATTGTCTGACTTTTACTTTCTCTTTTATTTCTGTTTTTCTTTCTCTCTTTCATTCATCATTTCTTTTTACTTTCTGTCTGTCTTGCACTTTTTTTTTTCCTGTTTTCTGTCGTTGCTGTTTTTTCATTTCTGTCTGTCCTTTATTGTTTGTTTGTCCTGTCTGTCCATGATTATTCCATCTGACCTTGCCCCCAATCCTTTGTTTCATGTACGTTTCAGCTACGTCATGGAAGACGGCAGCCCTTACATGCGCTCAGGGAAACAGAACTCGTCTTCCGCGAGCGGCCGAAGAGGCACGAGGGACGCGGTGGACGACTTGGGCGACGACGTGTGGAACTTCATGTCTTTCTGCAAGAAAGATTTTGTCAAAGACTCGACCCCAGACCAGCAGCTCAGCCTGCAGGAGCTCACCATCAGATACAAAGGTGAGTTTCGAAGAAATTATTCCGCTTCAAGGTTCTGTCGGGGTTTTAATGATCCACTTCAATCTTATAGACACAAACAAATCTGTCCTTAAAACTATTGCTGCCATGGACCTGGACAAGATCAACATGGACTTGGTGGAGAGCCTGCTGGAGTGGATAGTAGACGGACAACACAACTACCCACCAGGTCAGAGTTGGTATTTTGTGCTGCTCTCCGTAAAAGGTGATATTAATATTTCTAAACTACTTTTATTGGTTTGATTGCAGGTGCTGTGTTGGTGTTTATGCCAGGCCTTGCTGAGATTAAAATGCTTTATGAGCAGCTGCAATCCAACAGGATATTCAACAACAGACGCACCACCAGGTTTGGGACCTTAATTGCAATAATTTAAAAAAAAAAAGAAAAAGAAATGCAATTATGTTTTTAAAAAAATGAGCTTTACAGAGCAGAACATTCACCGACATTAAATCCGGCTGTTTGTGCAGCAAATAATAACTTTTGGACGTTTCAGTCGGTAGGCAAATTGTCTTCAAGAAAAAAGGCAAGAATCCTTTAAAATAAACTTAAAAATGTACTTACAACTCATTCTCTTTTTTTAAGTTAAGAATTTAGAGTAGTACTCACTTTAAGATAATCGCTCCAGCAACAAAAGATTCACTTATTCTAAGGCTTTTTGCACATGCTGTGTATTACATGATTTTCGATTTGTAAAAGATCCACGATGTTCACTTTCTGTTTGACACACACACACACACACCAGATGTGTGGTCTACCCCCTCCACTCCACCCTGTCCAACGAGGAGCAGCAGGCGGTCTTCAGCCGCCCCCCGAAAGGCGTCACCAAGATCATCATCTCCACCAACATCGCGGAGACCTCGGTAACCATCGACGACGTGGTTTATGTCATCGACTCTGGAAAGATGAAGGAAAAGAGGTAGGATTAGATTAGATTAAACAGATTAATCCCTTTTTTAAAAAAACGGTTTTGAGACGAGTCCGTGTTGCGCTGCCTGTTCTCAGGTACGATGCTTCCAAGAGCATGGAGAGCCTGGAGGACTCGTGGGTGTCCCGGGCCAACGCGCTGCAGAGGAAAGGTCGAGCGGGCCGAGTGGCCTCGGGGGTTTGCTTCCACCTCTTCACCAGCCACTGCTTCCGCCATCAGCTGGCCGAGCAGCAGCTGCCCGAGATCCAGAGAGTTCCCCTGGAGCAGCTCTGCCTGCGGTCCGTCCGTCTGCTTCCTGGCTTTGCTCGTTTGTTAAAGCAGAGTTTTTAAACTCTCCTACTCTCCTACTCTTTCCGTGACAGAATTAAGATCCTGGACTTGTTCGCCGAGCAGCAGCTGGAGTCCGTCTTCTCTCGGCTCATCGAACCGCCGGACGTGGGGAGCCAGGATGCCGCCAGGCAGCGCCTCCAGGACCTGGGAGCTCTGACCCCGGATGAGAAGCTGACCCCGCTGGGCTACCACCTGGCCTGCCTGCCCGTCGACGTGCGCATCGGGAAACTCATGCTGTTCGGCGCCATCTTCCGCTGCCTCGATCCGGCGCTCACCATTGCAGCCAGTCTGGCCTTTAAATCACCGTTTGTAAGCACGCCTTGGATTTTCTTTGCAATGTGAATCACATCTACGTGGTGCTAATCTCTAATATGAAAAAAACAACAACAATCCAACATCCTGATTCCTGAAGCATTTGTGCATTTGGGTTGTTTCCAGGTGTCTCCATGGGATAGAGAGAGGAAGCCAGTGAGAAGAATGTGACTTTGCATTGGCCAACAGTGACCATCTGGCTTTGTTACAGGCATACAAGGTACTGAGTGTTATTTTTATTCTACATGGTATGAATGGCGTTACACAGTCTAATTACCTTTCCCACCAGCTGCGTCATAAATCTGCTGCTTCCGTGGAAAAAAGCAATCCACTATTTATGATTCAGCAAGAAAATATGATAGAAATGTCTGGGAATATATTTCGTTACAAATTATGTAACGGATCCTCTCCCTCCTTGGCAGGGTTGGTGCTGCGCTGCAAAGAGCGGCAACCAGGCCAGCTTCCGCTTCTGTAGGGAGAACTTCTGTCCTGGCGCAGTTTACAGGTCAGAAATCACAAACTTCTTAGACAAAAGTTTGGGATTGTGTTGTGAATTAATTCTTTAAACATCTTCAACGTTGCTGCCTGTCCAGGAGATCGCCAGCCTGAAGAGGCAGTTTGCGGAGCTGCTGTCAGATATCGGCTTCATTAAGGAGGGACTGAGGGCCAGGGCTATTGAACGCTTATCCTCACAGGGAGCGGATGGTGTATTGGAGGCTACTGGCCTGAGGTGAGTCATATGAGTCACACTGAATCCATCTTTTTGCTGTAAACTTGAAGAACGCCTCTTAAAATCAGTCACATTTTGCTTCCCAGGCCAACCTTAACTCAGAAAACATCCGCCTGATGTCTGCAATGCTGTGCGCAGCTCTCTATCCAAACGTGGTCCAGGTGATTGTCCTTCAATGTTTCCTGCTCCCAATAGTTTAAAAAGGTTCTTTCATGAGCTGAAGCTCAATATTTTTGGTCTATCCAGGTTCGAGCTCCTCAGGGGAATTACAAGATGACCAGCAAGGGAGCCATGAAGATGCAGCCGAAAGCCAACGAGCTGCGCTTCATGACCAAGAGCGACGGCTACGTCCACATCCATCCCTCGTCCGTCAACTACATGGTAAGCGTGAGCCGCACAGAACCGCCGAGGTCAGCTCAGACCAAAAAAACCCCCCCAAAAAACGTGATTCTTTCGACACTCAGGTGCGCCACTACGACAGCCCCTATTTGGTTTACCACGAGAAGGTGAAGACGAGCCGCGTCTTCATCAGAGACTGCAGCATGGTGTCCGTCTACCCGCTGGTGCTGTTCGGAGGCGGTCAGGTCAACGTGGAGCTCCACAAAGGGGAGTTCCTCATCTCTCTGGATGACGGCTGGATTCGGTTCGCAGCAGCGTCGCATCAGGTCAGACAAACGAAATAACTTGATCCCAAATTCTTCTTTTGTTGGGTTGAGACTACCAACCAACCAACCAACCAACCTGTGTGGGTGTTTTCCAGGTGGCTGAGCTGGTGAAGGAGCTGCGCTGGGAGCTGGACCAGCTGCTGGAAGACAAAATCAGGAACCCGAGCATGGACCTGTGCAGCTGCCCCCGGTTCCCGCATCATCCGCATGATCGTCCACCTCATAACCACCCAGTAAGGCCCTGGCTGAGCTCCTCATGATCCGTTTACCCTGAAGGGCTAAAACATGCGGAGCTCCGCTGTTAACTGTAATTGAATCTCCAGCTCTATGCAGATGACGAAGTTTTATTTTTGATATCTCGTTTTGTGTACAAAACTATTGCTGCACATGCACTAAAGCAACTTGATGTCACGTCACTCCAATGACAGTTTTTTTTTTTTTGAGTGGTCATTGTAGGTGGCGATGGGGTTGTGTGCGTCACAACTTGAGCTTTTTCTCGGGTCCATATTGGATTTTTTTTTTTCTAATTCTGAAGTGACTGCACGCAAATGTGTATTTATTTGAAATGCATGATTGACTGAGGTCCAAGAGTTGCATGGTGTTCAGATATTTTCCAATATGTTGAATGTATTTTTCTGTTGAAATGATGTCAAAACTACACTGTAACAATGTGAACGGAAGGGCTACAGAGACAGGACGTGATCTCCGCTGCCAAAGAAAGCCGTCATCTTTCACTTCACAGTGCCCTGCAAATAAAACTGAAAGTAACACCTGGTTTCAGTATATTCTTTGTCTTAAAATGCCAAATTTTCACTTCAGTTGCGCATTTTTCTATTATGAAGATGTTGTAACGAGGTTAATGGTGCTGCAAGTTGGGTTGGAAGGTTTGCTCTCTTAGATTCAGTGCAGAAATGTAGAGGTCTGTGAGAAAGGCCTGTTGCTTCATTCAGTGTTCGCGTCTCACCAGGGCGCCATGCTGAACCGTGCCAAGACAATCCTGGTAAGATTTTTTGGGGGTTTTTCTACTTTTAACTTATTTTCTTATTCATCTGTCATGTCTCTTCCAGAAATGTAAAATATATTCTGCTGTGGTAAAGTATTCAGTTATTTTAAAAAGCTTACCATATTCATATCATATCATATTAAGAAAAGTTACATTTTCTTTTCTTTCTGTAAGCCGAACAAGTCCAAGAAGCCGAGATCCCACAACTCCGAGTCTGCCAAGAAGACCAGGAGTCCAAAAACTCTACAAAAAGAAATCATCTTCCAAATGCAACAAGAGGGTGGACATCCTCTACTACATATCCCACAATGCACCACAATGTCTGGAGTACAGAGGGTTTGGGTGGCCAAATTCCCAAAAGAAAAAGGGAACAAAAAAGAAGAAAAAACAGATAAGATCTGCCAAACATTACATAAACCGCGCCATCTGTTGAAAGAACATTTTTAGTGTAAGAGTTGATGCTCAAAGGAATGATAGAATGCTTTAATGTCATTTTCTGTAACTTTATTGTAGGCTTGAGAACAATGTTTGTGAAGGTGTAGCAAAACGTTTGGCAGTTGTTACTAAAAATTCAGAAGGTAGATTAATTATGCTTTGTTTCTGTACATCTCAATGCACTTTAAACATTATCGTTATACAAAAAAGAACAGGCGACCAGTCCAATCAGACTTTAAAGTGATCCCATCAGTTAGCTGCATTATTCGTTAAATCAAGTTTCTAGGCAATGCACCCAAGGAGGGGAAACTCCAATGGGAAACAAGGATTTATTACAGAGAAGGGAAATAAATACTGCTCCTGGAACTGCTTATGCTTTTACTCATGTCAAATAATCCTGTAGCGAATGCACACCCCCGATACCCCTGAGCCAACAAAACCCTGTGGATAAATAATCTCTGCAGAAGACGTCTCCTCTTCTTTGAAGCACAGTCCAGCTTTGCTCACTCTGGGGGCTTCTTCTTGGCCTCCACGTCCTTCTTAAAAGCTTCAATTTTCTTGGCTATGTTGGGTACCTGAGAATATAGGTTAACACTGGCAACAGAACTTTTAAATGGAAATAGCAATTAGCAGGAAAGAGAAACAGCATTTGTCACATTTCCAATTCTGTCCTGTAGTTAATGGGATAGGCCAGGGTGTCAAACTCATTTTGGTTTTGGGCCAAATCGAGATCATAAATGCTTTTGAAAGGGCTGCATGTGGCAGAATGTATTTATAAAACCCCTTAAGCTGTTAAAAAATGAGCAAATTCTTATAATTAAACAAAGAGCCACATAAAAAGCCTCTGGCCTTCAGTTTGACAAAACGTGGGACAGGGAATAAAGTCAAGAAATGTCATTTTTAATGAAATAAGCAGAACTTACTTCATAATTTTGAGCAAGATACATTCCCACTACATTCCCCAAAGTGAAGCCAGCCTGCAAACAAAGAAGTAGAGCTATTATTCTTTTTCATGTTGGGTAATGCAAAACACACAGCGTGTCTGCTCACTTTAACTGTGTACAGCAGAAAAATAAAAAACAAAGGTATGACAGAAAACCTTTTACACAGAAAAACTCTGTTACACCAACTTGGTAAAGCAAACTCTTCTTTGATCACAGTTGACAAAATTACCAACTGATTCATAAACAGACAATATATCCACTAAACTAGATCTTATTCACAAATGATTAATATATATTCAAACAAAAACATTTTACAGTACATACCTAACTAACTTATCTTAAAGTTAATTTCCACCTCTTTCAGATTAAATTCTTTATCTAAAATCTATTTATGGCATAAATATTGCTAGTAGTATACATATTTTGATGTGCCAAAACTCATTCCATCCTCTAAAGACAGAATCTCTTAGGTATTTCTTCGCGATTGCTTTTCAACTGTCAAGCAAATATTTTATTAGCATGTAGCGCTAACAGTTACCATTTAAGCTACTACGGACTTGGCAAAACTATGGGCGTCAGGCGTCGACGTGGAAGTATAACTCACCAGAAACTGCAACATGATGACGCAAATAAGCGTATTAAAGTCCTGCTCCTGTTACATAAACGTTGTAGTCCAAAGCAGGTCGGCGCTTCCAAAGTTAAATGATCCAAACCAGCTAGCTAACGAAGCTAGCCGTCCACCAGAGCGCATGCGCGTGACGAGCTTCGGCGCTTGTAGTCCTTTCAGCCGTTCTCGGTGGAAGAAACTGCAACTCCCAGACCTCCACGCGGTATCTGTTGTCGCAATGGTGTTTCCGGGGAGACATTGAATGACTTTGGCTCCATCTCGACATAGAGTCTCTTTAAAACCTATCAACCAGCAAACATGGAGGCTCTTATCCCCGTGATAAACAAGCTGCAGGACGTGTTCAACACCGTGGGGGCCGATATTATCCAGCTGCCGCAGATTGCAGTGGTGGGGACTCAGGTAAAAACAGCTGTGCCTGTGAGCTTTTGGTGATAGCAGCTGTCATGCTAGTCGTAGCCCTGTCACCTTGCTTCAAACGCGCACGAATGAACCAGTATCACAGTGTTTGGTTTCATCACATCCTTGAAAGAAGTGAGATTTGACAAAACCGTTTATTTTTTTTATGATTTATTGGAGCTGATGCGCATGATAAAATCTGCACACTGCTAAATGTTGTCAGCCCACAGTCTTGCAAACATCCCAGCTGGCTGAATGTGTTTCTGATGTGCTCGTGTCTCCAGAGCAGTGGAAGAGCTCGGTGCTGGAGAGCCTGGTGGGCCGGGACCTGCTGCCCCGGGGGACCGGCATTGTGACCAGGCGGCCCCTCATCCTGCAGCTGGTCCACGTTGATCCTGCAGACGGCCGGAAAAACGAGGAGGGAGGTGAGCGCCTGCAAGACACGTGGTGTCCAGTCAGTAGAGAAAATACTGAATGCAGTAACGAACATAAACAAACACAGGTTTTTGAGTTTTATGGAGTTTTGTATGTCAGGATGCACTTTGCTGCCTCATTGTAAATCCAACAAATACAATGAGGATATACAATAAGTGTGGAATCCTGATCCTGTAGAATTAGATGGTTTCCCCACATGATTGGATTAAAGCAATCAGTTTTTCTGACTCTCTCACTCTTTTCCGAACCACATGCAGATGCAAAGCAGCGCCTCAGAGTTGCAGCGTTCCAGGTTTTCTGAAGTTTTAATAGCTGAGTTTAGCGTCTTGTATCCTCTCCCATATTCATAGCTGCTTAAATAAACCACCTGGTCAGATGTTGATCCTTGCATTAGTTGGGTTTGATTCATCTCTTGTACCCAGCAGTTAAGTTTTTTCTGCTTTTGTTGTTTTTTGTTTTTTCTAATATATGTCTGTGACTCAATTTCTCATTGTGTCTCAGATGTGGAGGAGTGGGGGAAGTTTCTACACACTAAAAATAAGGTATTCCTCCACATGATCCTCCATAGTGTGGCCATCTTGGTCATGACTTGTCGTGACGCTTTCCTCCCTTTTTGTTATTTATTTATTTTTTCCCTTTTCGTTTGCAGATATACTCAGATTTTGATGAAATCCGACAGGAAATTGAAAACGAAACAGAGCGAGTGTCTGGGAACAATAAGGTGAGACGGAGAGCTACGACCGAGGTGGTGCGTTTGTCTGTTTCCTGGTGGCCAAAAAGTTACTGCCATTAGAAAAACAAATGAAAAGCAAAATGTCGCTTTAGCCTTTTGTTTGGGTTTGATAAATCGTGTACTATTCTACCACAGAGCCTCATTCAACAAAATGATTGATTTTTGAATCAGTTGTTTAGTCATTGTTTTTTTTTTGTGAGTCAGGGGAAATTAAGAGATGCTTTAAATTTCAGGATTAAAACTGTAATGGTGCGTATTTCTTAACAGGTAGACGTTATAACTCCTGTAAAGTCAATCCAACCTCTGCAAAGGTTTAACTTGTGACCCTTCCTACGTTGTGGATGCAGACCTTCGACTTTACTGGATTTACACCAGAGACGCTGATTTCTGATCGCCAGCTCTTACATTTTGAAACCGAGTTAAAGTTCCTCCAAGCTCCAAGAAAATAGGGCATCGACGTAGTAAGCTAGGACTGTGCTAATAATAATAATATTAATAATAATAATAAATAAGACGACAGTATTTCATAAGCGGCAAGGGTCGGGAACATAGTAGAAAAAAAATGCAAAGGTAGGAAAGACTGAAATAACGGCACCTTTTAGCAAACAAACAGTTAGCTGGACAAGCCGTATAATATAGCCTTTACTGCTATATTCATGTTTATTATTCATAATAAACATGAATATTTATTATTCATGTTCCCACTGTTCTTTAAATATTATTTCTGTTTACATTTCCCACAGTACTTTAAAGGCCATTCATTATTTTATTTTTCTTTTACTAAATAATCTATGGTGTTAAATTTTTTATTTTTTTGATCACATATACAAAAATCATCAATTTAAAAGACTCATAGACCAAAAATGTTTTTTTTTTATTTTAAATTATACAATTTAAAATTCTTAATTCTATCTATTTTTTAACATATTTTCCACCTTTGCTGACTAAACATTAGTTACAGTAGACGTTGGTCTCATAACTAAAAGCCGTTCTATTGAGTAAAAGTCACTGGATTGTTACTTGCAAAAGAAGCGGCTGTAAAAATATTATTTGTCAGTAATGATTAAATTAACTGATTAAAAGAAGTAAAAGTCTCCATCTGAATTTCCCATTTCTTGAGTCGCTGTCTGGAGTTTTGTGTCTAAAGTTGATTCTGACGTTTATTTAGTTATTTAGCTGGCTGTCTTTTGGAAATCCATTTTTCAAGTGTGGCTTCAAATGATTAAGTTGTGAATATACTGCTGGAGAGAAAAACAAAGACCCTCTAGAGAGAGGTATCTGCCGCCTGGCAGACGAATGGCAATTTACTCCTCATCTGATCGCAGCCGGCAGGAGGATCTAAACTCATCTTGCCGCTTCTGATTCTGTGATTCTGTTCCTCTGCAGGGAATCAGTGATGATCCCATTCACCTGAAGATCTTCTCCCCTCACGTCGTCAACCTCACACTGGTGGACCTGCCGGGAATCACCAAGGTAACCCGTCCCGTTTCCAGCTCCCGCAGTACCAGCCTCTCGATCGCTCTGTGAAGGAAGCTGACACCGGCTCCTCTCCCTTCTGGATCCGCCCCTCTCAGGTGCCTGTGGGCGATCAGCCCAAAGACATCGAGATCCAGATAAGAGATCTGATCCTCAAGCACATCTCCAACCCCAACTGCATCATCCTGGCGGTCACGGCGGCCAACACGGACATGGCCACCTCGGAAGCCCTCAAGGTGGCCCGGGAGGTGGATCCAGACGGTATGAAAGCAAAGCGTGACCTTTAAATGGCGGCAATCCTCGCTGAGCTTCCGTTTTGAATGGATGTGAATCAACAGGCAGGAGGACGCTGGCCGTGGTGACCAAGTTGGACCTGATGGACGCCGGTACGGACGCTATGGACGTCCTGATGGGCAGAGTCATTCCTGTTAAGCTGGGGATCATTGGAGTTGTGAACAGGTGTGAGCAGCAAAGTGGCCATAATGCCCAATAGGCAAAAATAAAACAATCTTTTCATTTTCTTTTTTCTCGTAAAATCCAGAGTTCATAAGAAGAAGCTAAGTTGTGAGACTGAAGGAAAAGAAAGAAAACTGATGTGAAACCATAACCCTTAATTGTGTAGAATCTGCGTTACAGACAATCTTCCTAGTTTTGCAGATCGTGGATAGATTGTTGTCCTTCCAGATGCAATGTTATCATTCCTCTGCTCTTAGCTTAGCTTCAGTGAACTCAGGCAGACGTCATTGTCGTACAATGATTTCTTTCTGTAAATCTTTCCGGTCTTGGACCCTCAGGAGTCAGCTGGACATCAACAATAAGAAGTCAGTGGCCGACGCCATCCGCGACGAGTATGCCTTCCTGCAGAAGAAATACCCGTCGCTGGCCAACAGGAACGGAACCAAATATACCTGGCCCGGACCCTAAACAGGTGAGCTCACCTCTGGGGGAAATGGATCAGCAATAATGCAGTGAACAAAAACGATAAAAGTCCGTTTTTAAAAAGTTTTTTAGCAGCATAAAGAGCAGAATCAAGCTGCTCCCACTGCCGTGCTTCATGCCTTTTTTCCACTGTGCCTTTACTGCTATTCTTCAAATAGATAAACACATATTTCATCAAACCAAAAACATTGAAAAAAGAGCTTAAACTGCAGAAATTTTTGCTATTTTAAAATGTTTTTTTTTTATTTGAGTGTAAGAGACATTAGTTGTTTAATCTACTGATGGAAGTCTGACTTTGTAACGACTCCTATGTGTCTCTGAATGTTGCATAGACCAAGGTGAAACAAAATATATGCACACAAATTAAGTATTTTTTTTCCAAGCTAAATATCAATTACAAAACAATGCAATTTTTTTGAAAATTATTTTTATTTCTGATATACAAAATATTGACTCATTATCTGCACCTCCTACGACGTTTCCGGCTCTGAAGCAGCTGATGTTGCTGCAGGCGGCTCTGAGTCAGCTCTCACATTTTGTGTTTGTGCTTAAGCTGCCATATTCATCAGAGAACACGAGGTAACGCTGCATCGCTCCTTCTTCCCAGAGCCGTCTGGGAATTGCTACTGTCTTGTCATTTAAGGCCAGGCGCTCTCTGCCTTTCCTCTGCTAATGTCAGGCTACTGATGCATCACATCCGAGACTGCCTCCCGGAGCTGAAGACACGGATCAACGTCCTGGCGGCCCAGTACCAGTCCCTGCTCAGCAGCTACGGCGAGCCTGTGGAAGACCAGAGCGCCACCTTGCTGCAGCTCATCACCAAGTTCGCCACGGAGTACTGCAACACCATCGAGGGCACGGCCAAGTACATCGAGACAGCAGAGCTGTAAGTAGCGGCTCCGCCACACGGTGGTGGTGTCGAGCCAGTGAGCGTGAGGAGAGCGGATCGGATCAGCTGCTCCGGTTTCTGATTTCATTTTAATTTAACCTTCAAGACGAGATGAGACGACTTATTTTGAACAGTGAGCTGTTCAGAAAATATCACACACAGGGGGACAAAAATAACTACAACCATTCTCATACTGAATAAGTGAACAGTTTTTAAAAGTCACAATTCCAACTTTTTCTGGTCGATAATTTTTTGTTCCGGAAGTTATTGTGATGA